TTGCTAACAAAGAGATTTGTTGTCCGTATTTTCTAAGTTGTTAATTCTCGACGGGTTGATCACTCTGAAGTGTTAAAATGGAATGGATTCAGAGATGAGTCATTCAAAACACGTCAACTTGAATGATATGGGAATCCACTCGATAGAGTGAGTTTTTTTTAGCAAAGAGATTTGTTTATCCATATACTTTGAAGACACCATTTGTCACTTTCACTGGTCTGGATACCTCATAGAGGTATGGGTTGAAAACTATAATATCAGTGCATTGGTGAAGTCAGAGAGGAATACCTTCAAGGTAATTGGTAAAAATAGTTGTTACTGATTTCATGCTATAGCAATCTGTCAGCATGGTTTCATGCTATACATTTTGACAGCATTGGTCAACTAGAAATAATATTTACATCTCACCCGAAAAGTCATACACACTAGCTTGCTTTTATATTCTGTTATCTCATGTTTTTAGTTATGTTAACTCTGTTCTAATCAAAGTCTTCGAATTCGCCTTCTAAAATCATTTCCTTAACTTTACTTTCTTTTAAACTTTTACTACGATCACTGTGAACGATATTCGGTACTTGTACCACTTTTATTACTTGAAATACGATATTGGGACTATTTGTATACTTGCTTTTGGTCTTGATTGTAGTCTGTGGTTTTCACTGATCACTAAACATCACCCCAAATGGCTCAAGTAATTGTTCTTTTTTCCGATATAGAAGATCAAACACAACTGTAACCATAAAACATACTAAAGGGTTGTTTACCTAAATGCTTACTCGGTAAATGCTTATCGTTAGAAGTCTAACACTATAATTTATTTTACTAGTAAGACTGTAGTAGATCAAAACGTCTCCCATGCAACAATTTATTTAGTAAGCGCTTACCCGGGTAAGAGTCGTCACCCTTACTTACCGGGTAAGACTCTCCATCCTTATCATCGTTCTTACCAGGTAAGATTCTTGGCCCTTGTCATGTTCATCCGGTGAGGAAAATTAGCGGCTAAATACTTACCGGGTAAGCGTTTAGTAAACGGTTCCTAAGAGCTCTCTAACTTGATATCTCAACAAACCTGGCTCTGATACCACTTGGGAGATCTACATGTCCAAGAGTATCTCAAATGTGATCCCACTCAACAACAAATGTAAAGAAACATCAACACCACCACCAAGAATTATGTGGTTCCACTATTAACGTAATAGTGTACGTCAACACAAGGAGGAGGATGTTGTATTTCACTATAAAACACAACAGTATGAGTATAAAAAAGTATTACATCACTATTAAACATAGATACTCTCTATTAAGATTACCAAATATTACTCCAAGCTAAAATATGCATACAAATATGATTCAAGGTGTGTCTAAGGGGCCGTTTATCAAACGCTTACTTGAGTAAGTGAATATCAAGTCACATTACCTTACTGGATGAATATAGTAAGGACCAAGAATCTTATCCGGTAAGAGCGAGACAAGGACCAAGAGTCTTGCCCAATAAGTGAGGGCGACGACTCTTACCACGGTAAACATTTATCGGATAAGTGTTTGATAAACGCCCCTAAATCAGATGAAATGACTTGATGTTTACATACAACATTATGACTACTAATTTCCCCATGATGGCAATTAACCTCCTCAAAATGTTCATTCATCTCCACAAACTGACCACACATTTCCCATATGAGAATATATGAAAAAAAATCAAGTTTTTCAACACTTTGTACCGATTAAGGGGTTGTTTGTTTACCTCTTAATAGTTTCATTAAGAGGCAACCTCTGAATCGTTAAGAGGTGAATCTTGCTTGGCAAAAAAAAGTCTGTTTCTTAATGGTTCTAAAACCTTCTGAATGATTTTGTATTCTGGATCTCCCTTAACCATTAAGAAGCCTAATTTCATTGTACACAATTACCAAACAATTATATTTCATTTTGCACTATATCATGAGAGCCTCTTAATCATTCTGACCCCTTTGATCATTCTGCACCAAACCATTCAACAATTGCCAAAAAGCCCCTAAGTTGCAAACAAACGTTGAGAATCAAACATAAGAGGCCGATAAAGATTTTTTTTTCTTCTTTTTTTTGTATAAAAACAAACAAAGGATTACTCTTTTTGACCAAAAGATGGTGAAGARAGGAGCCAGATAGAAATAGTCTTTAATGAAGTACTCATTTCGTTATAAAAAAACACAATCTTTTAGGTGGTATTATAAAAATAAATCTGGATAGGAAGAACTTGATCTGGTAAACTGACTAGCAGTTTCAACTTCAACTACTATTTGATGTGCAATAAGTTTTAAATCAAAATTTAATTGTTTGTTAATAAGAAATTATTTAGCCTGTAATTCATAAAAGTTTGTTTTCTAAAAATCTTTTAAATATTCAATCATCAACATGTTTATTTAAAATCAACGGGTTAATAATAAGGGTTGAATTCCGGTGGGAAAGTGAGTTAAAATGAGAAGCGTAAGAAGTGTTCTTCATCCTTTGATGTATATTAGGATTAGACACATCAAGACGAGACGCATCGGAGCAATCTCCTTGTCAAACACGATTCATGAATAAGTTTGAGATTAAATATGATCAAGAGTCCAGATCTCTTCTTATACTTTTTACTTTATCTCTTATTCTCATACGATATTTCACCGGATAATAACCTATATTTTAATAAGAAAGAATTGATAAATGTATTGTTTTACTATATATTTAAAATATGATATTTTGGAAAAATGTATTACTTAATAGTATTTTGATAATTCTTGATTTTAATTTAAATAATTTGAAAAATACAGTCACCAAAACACGTAATTGACCAAAAATTACGTGGCAACAAATACTAAATAATAATAAAAATATATATACACTTCTTAATTAATTTAAAAAATAATAAAATATTATATCTAAAAAAAATAATTTAAAAATGGGCGTTTTGTTGACAATAATAAACTCAAGGGAAATGAAAAGCTCCAAGAAAAAGTAACAAAAACGGTTTTACAAGCGCCAAGACGCAAACCCAATTTGCATCATTTCTCACCGCCAAATTCCCCACCCAATTTCTCCATCAAATCCCACATTTTCTTTGATTCATTTCTCCTACATCCATCCATCTCTCTCTCTCTCTGTATGTTCTTGGATAAACCTGCATTCAAAGAAGAGGAATAATGGGTTCTATGGTGGAAGGTGTAACCCAGGTTCTGATCCCAGTGGCTGCATTCATTGGAATCGGGTTTGCTTTGGTTCAGTGGTTTCTGGTTTCAAAGGTGAAGGTGTCGTCTGGATTAACGGAGAGTGGAAGTCAGAACCAGCGGAATAGGTTGATTGAAGAAGATGACCAGGAGGTTGGTGTTGACTCTGATCAACTTGTGTTCAAGTGTGCTGAGATCCAAAGTGCAATCTCTGTTGGTATCCCCCTCTCATCTCTTTCTACGATTTTAGATCATTTTTAGTTTTTGGATCGATTTTAATATGTTGAAGTTCAATTAGTTGTTCAACAAATTTATATCCTCTGTTATTCATGCTCTGTTTTTGTTGGTCCGATAGATCGATTGTTAACCCTAGTTTTCTATCAATTCTAGTTTGAAATTCATAATAATAGACAAGGGTTTTCTAATTTAAGTCCGATCCTTCCAACTAGAATGAAGTTTTTGATTGATCTCTTCAGGTGCAACGTCATTTCTTTATACGCAGTACAAATACCTTGCGATCTTTACAGCAGTATTTGCTGCAATCATCTTTCTGTTTCTGGGATCGGTCAAGAACTTTAGCACAAAGAGCGAGCCCTGCACTTACAACAAGGGCAACATGTGCAAACCTGCATTAGCCAACGCCTTCTTTACTACAGTCGCCTTTTTACTGGGCGCTCTAACGTCAGTTCTTTCTGGGTTTCTTGGTATGAAGATAGCAACATATGCAAATGCTAGAACGACGTTAGAAGCAAGAAAAAGTGTTGGGAGTGCATTCATAACGGCTTTTCGATCTGGGGCTGTAATGGGATTTCTTCTTGCTGCTAATGGCCTCTTGGTTCTGTATGTTTCAATCAATTTGTTTAGAATGTATTATGGAGATGATTGGGAAGGGTTATTTGAATCCATTACTGGTTATGGTCTTGGTGGCTCATCAATGGCACTTTTTGGAAGAGTTGGGGGAGGCATATACACAAAAGCAGCCGATGTTGGTGCTGATTTAGTAGGAAAAGTTGAAAGAAACATTCCTGAAGATGATCCTCGTAACCCTGCTGTAATCTCTTTTCCTTTTTACTTTGCATGTCTAAACAGAATTTTTCAAAGTCAAAATTAACGCGTTTCAAAGCCGGATTAGATAAGCACTCTTTCATTTTCATCAAAGTTCTCTCAGAAATTTAAATGAATTTCAGCATTTTTTAGTAATGTCGTAGAATTGGCTCTCAAAAGTCAAACTTGGCCTCTTAATAAGCTCCATCATTCTGGCAAGTATCATGTTAAAATCCCACATCGGCTAGTCTCACTTTCTTTTCGATATATGTTGGAACCCTTTTTTTTCACAAAGACTATTTTCTACAGTAATATGGGGTTCCACGTATTTTCAAATGGTATGAGTCGAGGTCTACCATCTGTGACATCTTTGTCCGTCTAGCCTCCGTTGGGGGAACGAATATATAGAACCCCTTCTTTCTTCAAGGATTCTTTTGGTGAATAATACAGGGTTCCACATTTTCATGGTCGTTAACATTTGGATGATCTTTGCAGGTTATTGCGGATAATGTGGGTGATAACGTCGGTGACATTGCTGGGATGGGATCCGACTTGTTTGGATCATATGCCGAATCATCATGTGCTGCTTTATTTGTGGCTTCCATATCATCCTTTGGTAATAGTCATGATTTCTCAGCCATGGCTTTTCCTCTGCTTATAAGCTCGATGGGAATTGTCGTTTGCTTAATCACTACGTTTTTCGCCACCGATTTTTTCCAAATAAACGGTGTGGCTGATATTGAACCGTCTCTCAAGCGTCAACTGCTAATTTCTACAATATTAATGACTGCTGGGATTGCTATTGTCAGCTTCACTGCTTTACCATCAGAATTCACTATCTTCAACTTTGGTGCCAATAAGCTTGTTAAAAGCTGGTATGTGCTTATTTCTTTCACTGCATGTGTCTGCTTTGCTGGTTGTACAATGTGCATTAACATCTGTATTATGGGCGTACTCCTTTCAATTGTTTTCTCCAGGCACATCTTCTTCTGTGTTTCAATAGGTCTGTGGGCTGGTCTGGTTATTGGATACATAACCGAGTATTACACTAGCAGCGCATATAGGTGAGGTTTTTTACACAGTTGCTTTAAGGGTCAAATATATAAATTCTAAATTTAAAAGGGAAAAATGCAACAAAGTTTGATTTTGTTCCTATTTTGTGTAATGAGTTCTTTTACTTAATTGGTATAATAAAGGTTAAAAAAATTCACATACATGGATACATGTTTACGAAAGGTTTACATGCCAAAGTGGGCGATAATTGATACCCAAGCCATCAATGTTACAAGCTAAGCAAGTTACCGATCAAAAGAAGGGAAAAAGTAAGAAAAACTGAAACTCGGTTACATCAAATAGGAAACTGTGAAACTCGGTTACAATGGTTGAGAAAAAAATTATTTGGTATACTAAATAGGAACCAAGACAAACTTTGTTGCATTTTGCGTGATTTAAAAAGGCAAATATATTTGTTAAAGAATACAATAGCAACATTGAACTTGTTCGTATACGTCTTCATCAATCTTATCACAACGGTCAAATGATTTGCAGCCCAGTGAGGGATGTGGCAGACTCCTGCAGGACGGGTGCTGCAACGAATGTGATATTCGGACTGGCTCTAGGATATAAATCTGTTATCATCCCGGTATTTGCTATCTCTGTGGCTATTTATGTGAGCTTTAGCTTGGCTGCCATGTACGGGATCGCAGTGGCTGCTTTGGGGATGCTAAGTACCATAGCTACTGGTCTAGCCATTGATGCTTACGGGCCCATCAGTGACAATGCGGGTGGTATTGCAGAAATGGCTGGAATGAGTCACACAATCCGGGAGAGAACTGACGCTCTTGATGCTGCTGGAAACACCACAGCTGCTATTGGCAAGGTACAAGACCCTTGCAATAAGTTCATTTTAGTCCGACTCTTTTTAACTCGATAACCTTTAAATGACCGACCTGCCTGTGGTGTAAAACAGCTTGCCATCTTAAATTTTGAGAGAGAAAAAACACTAGAATGTTAGTTTGTAAAATGATCCTTTTTGATAATTGACACTTTCAGATTTTATGAAACAAATCATAACCCATGAATATTATGGTAATGTGTATATAAAACTGGCGTTGGGTCTCAGGGTTTTGCAATCGGGTCTGCTGCTCTAGTCTCTCTTGCTCTATTTGGGGCTTTTGTGAGCAGAGCTGGGATTGAAACGGTGGACGTGTTGACACCAAAAGTGTTCATAGGCTTACTGATAGGAGCAATGCTTCCGTACTGGTTCTCTGCTATGACAATGAAGAGCGTCGGAAGTGCTGCTCTGAAAATGGTTGAAGAGGTTCGGCGACAGTTCAACACCATTCCAGGGCTCATGGAAGGAACCACAAAACCTGATTATGCAACATGTGTCAAGATTTCAACAGATGCTTCACTAAAAGAGATGATCCCTCCTGGTGCTTTAGTTATGATCACACCTCTAGTTGCGGGAACCTTTTTTGGAGTGGAATCGCTTGCTGGTGTACTTGCAGGTTCACTTGTTTCAGGTGTCCAGGTACATGTGTTGTATGCCATTTTTTTTAGTAACTTCGAATTGTGTTTAACCGCACCCCTTAACCAAGTTCATCGCTTTTGCATAACTTCATTCATAGATTGCTATATCTGCTTCTAACACGGGTGGAGCTTGGGATAATGCGAAGAAGTATATCGAGGTAAACCAAACAAAACTCTGCTAGTAGTTTGGATTGGAGATTGAGATATGGAGTTTGTTATGAAGATATATGTTGAAAATATGAATGTATATGCAGGTGGGTCAGAACATGCAAGGACATTAGGACCAAAGGGATCAGAAGCGCATAAGGCAGCAGTGATAGGTGATACAGTGGGAGACCCATTGAAGGATACATCAGGACCATCACTCAATATCCTCATCAAGCTCATGGCTGTTGAGTCCTTGGTGTTTGCTCCTTTCTTTGCTACTCATGGTGGTCTCTTTTTCAAATGGTTTTAGATCACAGATTTGTATATGTTTGATTTAATAAAAAAAAGGGTACCATTTTGCCTTTTACTTCAACATATCATTTCCATTCAAATATTTTTAATTCATTTCGTGTCATGGTTTGCCCTTATATATAACAAATAAAAGTTACATACAAATAAAGTTATTTTATAATTTAATTAAAATATCTGATAAATAATCAAATATTGTAAATATATTTTTAATCATAAATTAACAAAATTTATAAATGAAACTAAAGTACTGGTTAGTTGACGTATAACGTTGACACAGTAGGCTAAAAAGAAATTTTACATTGACACAGTAGGCTAAAAAGAAATTTTACAAGCTCTAGAGATTTTGTATGTAAATTCTCTATTTTAGAGAAATTTTGAAGAATTTGGTCTTAGATCATTGTAATTATTCACATGACTAAAAACCATTATTTATAATTTGTTATACTTAATCAGTTCAAAATCTTCCACTAATTCAATAAAACCATTAGTTTCTTATTCATATCAGTTTTCTAAGTGCATAATGTATATTTAGAACCTCAAGAGTGGTGCATGATTGGTTTGAGTTTGACTTCAAAGGTCAAAAGTACCAGGGGGTCTCAGGTTTAAATCCAAGAAGAAATAAAATCCCCTTGTGACCATGGAGGTTCCAATGCGGTGACTCCGGGCTATCTGCAAAGCAGGTGGTTGTCCCGGGATTAGTCGGCTCGCATAGTGGGTTGGATATACAGGTTAATCAAAAAAATGTATATCTATACTATATTATTAAACATTTGAGAAAAACTCTTAAAAACCATTCTTTATGCATGAAGTATTGTGTATTAATGCATATTACTTAAAATTAAGATTACAAGTAAATTGTTCGTCAATACAACTTATTAAAACTCCATTTTTGAATTCGTATAACTAACTGTAGATAAATATAATCAAATACAGAATAAATCTTTTATTTTTAAATATAAAAAATCTAAAATATAATTAGGATAATCATTAAGTTCTAACAGAATCATTATTTTTACAAATTTTTTTATTGTTAAGTCAAAAATAAATTACTTCTTTTTGACCTAAACTAAAGTATAATAAAAAATTGAATTAAAGAAATTGTTAAAAAAACAAAAACTTTTAAATAGTTAATTTAATATTAATATCGATATATTTTTTAAAATTTTTATGTTATATTCAAATTTATTTTTATAAAGATGTATCTCGTAACATTGTCATTGCCGTGGTACTATTCTAGTTTAGAAAAAAAATATTTAGACACAAATCGGGGTTAAAAATCTTTAACCATGTTCGGGTGGAGGCCGGTGACCAACCTAAAATCCGGAGTCAAACAAATGAAAAGTCAACACCATCTTCAACCGTCTTCTAACCGTTCTGAACATTTAAAACCCTGCACTCCCTTTCACTTGGTTAACTCCGCCCTCCCCAACCCCCATCTCACTCTCTTCAATTCCATTTTCATTCAAAAATTCCAATTCATCATGCAATCTTCAATCTCTCTCTCACTTTCTTCGCCTTCTCCGATCACCGCCAGATCCAACTGCGGCGTTGACTCATACTCACCCCACCTCTTCTTCAACAACACAACTACCCCGAATCAGCTCCGGTTTTGTGGCCTCAGAAGAGATGCCTTTTCTGGTTGCAAATCTTCTTCGTCTAATAATGCCATTCGATTCAACCAATTGCCTCCGACAAATAAGGTTTTCGCTTCCTTATCCGGCAACGGAACTCCTTCCAAGGGTTTTGATTATGATCTTGTCATTATTGGAGCTGGTGTTGGTGGTCATGGCGCTGCCCTTCATGCTGTTGAAAAGGTAATTCGACCGCCACCTTATCAATGTCTTCTGTTTGGTTTATATTTCAGTACAGCAACGCTCAGTTTAATAGTTGAAAACAAACCTCCATTGTGGAATCTCCCTACATTTAGAAATGGTCGGAAGAAGAAGAAGAAGAAAACATTTATTAAATAAGGAAAACGTACTCGGATATCAATTTATTTTAGGTATTTGTCTAAATTGTTGTAACACTTGATTCAACTCCTAATGTCCGTCGTTTTGATAGATTCAGGTAAGTATATATTCAATAAAATATTCATCCAGAATGTTCGTGCATATCTATTAGCCTAGCTCTGTCGCTGGTTCATGTATATCTACTTACTTTTGAACGTCGCCAGCTGAAGTAAGCTAGTTTGTTTCTTCAAAGCAAAGGAAAGTGATCATACACATGCATATGCATTTATAAAAATCAAACAAACCCAGTAAATTCCACTCAGAAGTAGAGTCTACGACGACCACTCTCTCCTAAAGAAAATACTCTTTCCAAAAAACCATACCTCACCTCTGGGACTAGGGTAGAGCTGCTGTTTTCGTGAAGACACACATGTCCATACGTATAGGATTATAATGTGGGATAGGGAAACTTACCAATCAGTTCAGATATATATAGTCAAATTAGGACCATCCCAAAAAAATGGATATGTAATGCAAATTGCCAATTTATATGCTTCACTTACAACGATACATTGGCCGTTTTATGTCGCTCCTGCTTACAAGCATTTTGTTTAAAATTCATAAATTTGACTTCTATAGGGTCTGAAAACTGCCATAATCGAAGGAGATGTGGTTGGTGGAACATGTGTTAATCGTGGGTGTGTTCCTTCCAAGGCCCTTCTTGCTGTAAGTGGTCGAATGCGGGAGCTCCAAAATGAACCCCACATGAAGTCATTTGGATTGCAGGTATATCTATTTCCCAGCACTTAAATATTTCTTATTTTAAGCATGTGTCAAAGGTTCTTCCGTAGTTAATATTGTCTAGCTTTGACGTTTGTAAGTCATTTGTTGCCCTTGTTTGTCCCCATGTTCAAAGAGGTTCATCCGTGTATTCTCGTCTCAAGCTCTCTTTTGATTCTTTTCTCTTCGCTACTATTGGCTTGTTTAAAGTTTATTTCAACTAGACCTTCTATAGTTTATCAATGAACAGTAACAATCAAGGGGCAAACATAAATTGAATAAGTTAGTATGGTAAATGGTCGATAAATAATTGTCATGTGATAATATTTTCAGTAAATATATATGCTCTGCACTTAGAAACAAGTTTCTAATGCAAGAGAATCATGAACATGTATGCAACATTGTTCAGCTGTGAACTCAACTATACTGAATAAGCTTCTCTCTTGTCTGATGATGATGGACCTGCTCAAGTGTTTGGAGCTAAAGGTCGTAAGTTCAATACACACTTGTCGGATCCCTAGTGAATTACCAAGGGTGCTTCAATCGGTGGGTGGTAGAGGTTTTCATCCTCCATTCCTTGGGTTTACTCACCTTTGAATGAGGTTTCTTTGGCCTTCAGAAAAATATAAATTGTTATAACAAGTGTACTTTACTTAGATATATTGTAGATCCATGTTAAAGACACACAAGACAGGAACTTGTGAACAATTCATAAATAGTACTTAAACTTAGTTGGACATAAACTGACAATATATATATATATATATATATATATATACAGCCTTGAACGATTTATTGGGATGATTTTTCCAGTGACTTAGTGTTTCCCAAAATGTGCTTGCTTACAGAAATTATGTGGGCATGTTAAGTAAAACGAGTATGGGGGAAGTTGGCTGTGCTGCCTGTGCACATATAAAACCATAGGTCCACACCATGTTGAATTGAAAATTTCAAATCCAAGTTCTGTATAGTTAATAGTTCAGGTTCATTTTACAAGACTTTGTCCTGTTTTTGGTATCTGTATTATCAACCATGCCAGTAGTCTGTCACCCTCTATCTGATTCTTACTCTCTAAATGCATGATCTCTTCATTTCTTCATTTCATTCATATAAGTCAAGATGAAAAGTCCTTGTCTTTCATTAAGTATCTGTTAATAAGATCAAAACCCCTTCTGTTGGATTGTTATTGGTTTCGTTGTTGGTATTTGTGGTGCACATTTGAGATCCGTTTTGAATTCTGAGTAGTTGTTAGGTTTGCACTATATGCTAGTTATTGGGACATCGGTGCATTAATTGTGATATTGAATTATCCCCCAACACTACTAAACTTGTATTTGTTTATGCTGACAGGTTGCAGCTGCTGGGTATGACAGACAGGGGGTAGCTGATCATGCCCAAAGTCTTGCCACCAAAATAAGAAATAATCTAACCAATTCAATGAAAGCTCTTGGTGTGGACATATTGACAGGTTTTGGTGCTGTTGTGGTATGTCCTTTACTGACGGAATTTTTATACATATTTTCATTCATCTTTTGCTTATTAACTGAACTAAATTTGGCTTGGCGCATGTGAACTCTAGAATTTGTTATGAATATAGGGTCCACAGAAGGTGAAATATGGAAAAGTTGGAGGTACTGAGACAATTATTACTGCAAAAGATATAATCATTGCTACTGGTTCAGTACCCTTTGTCCCTAAGGGGGTTGAGGTTGATGGTTAGTGCTTGTTTCTTCATACATTTTCCTTCACATTAACAGCAAATAGTAAATAGTAAAGAATAATGTTAGAAAAGTGAGACAAAGTAAATGGAAGAGATAATATCTTAAAGAGGATATTGAGATGTGAAATGTCTGCAGTTTATCTACTTTTGATGAACTTCCGATACATGACACAAAGTGCAGTCATAAAATACAATATAAACAGTATTTAATAGCTACCTGTTGATTAAATCATTCCAAAAGTTGTAATATTTCTATGACAATTCAGGCTTTTAGTGTAATCCTTGTGGTTTGCAATTCGTTTCTACTTTTGTCCCTTGACTAACTCCGTTATATAAACTATGTTAAGTCAGGAGCATTGTAGTCTTTTTACTTCTTTTTGTATATTCTTATTTTTTATTAAACAAATTTCAACATTATGTTATATATCATCACATATATATATTATATGCATATATATTATTTATATTATATACACTCCCCACCTCTTCCCCTCCCCCTGCCCCGCTTCTTCTTCCCCATAAAACGTGTCGCGGAAAAACAACTTCTATCACCATCTACTTCTACTCTGCTCCTACACCAGAGGGACGGAAATTCAGTTTACAAAAGTTATAGCATCCACATGGAAGCTCTAACAGCACTCTTCCCTGTTTCTCTGCCTTCGCTTAACAGAAAGCAATTATCCCAACTAAGTTTTAGTTTTCCATCTACTCACAACAAAACCCAATCCTCGGTGGTATGTACTCATGCCTGTGTGTGATCTGGAGAAGAGGGTTCGCATGAAAAGGTGATGGGCCTGGATGTGGTGGTGTGGTGGGACAAGAACGAGAAGGCATATATATGGAAGGTGTTCAATGATAGTTGTCTGCACAAATTGACTCCATTTTCTGAAGGAAGAACTGATCAACTGGGAATGCTGGTGTTTAAAAGAAACAAAAATGAACATATTAAAATGAAAGGAAATGACGAAAAGATCAAAATGACCTCGTATTTATAGATAATGGATAATCGTTTGGTCTAGGGATCTGTGGGCATACCACCAGGTCATTTGCGTAATAAATGAAGTCCAGGGACCAATTCCGTATAAACCTACCATAGAGACAAAATCTGTAATTTACTCAATATATAATTTGATTAAAAAAAATTAAAAACGTTAAAGACGAAAATACCCCTGACTTAACGGATTTTATTTAACAGAGTTTATTAGAGGGACAAAAATAGCAACAAATTGCAAACCATGAGGACGAATACCATAATTTCAAAAACACGAGGACGAAAATCACAGGGACAAAAACGTAGTTTACTCTAATACTTATCTTGGAGCCGATAAAATTTATTGATTAGCTGCCTGCAGGTAAGACTGTAATAACCAGTGACCACGCGCTCAAACTAGAGACAGTTCCAGAGTGGATAGTTATTGTAGGAAGTGGTTACATTGGACTTGAATTCAGTGATGTCTACACAGCACTGGGAAGTGAGGTGAGATCATTGATCCTTTGAAGCACTTCCTATATTCATGCCATTTCTGGGTTGTTTCCTCTTTTCACTCCCATAGAGTAGGAAAATCATCAAGTATCTTTTCATTGTCATTTAAGTCAGAGGGAGAAAACTGATGCAGATATACGGATATATTCTGATTTTTGGTTTTTGTATATGTGAGTTCCATCCCATGATGATATAGTGCTGTTTGTCAAATATGTGCAATTATAGGTGATTTGTTATGGATGTTGATTATATGTACTCCATCAACATTAAAGTTGTATATTCCCATAGTAGGGAAACATCCCTTGAGAAGGAGCACTTTCATTCTGAAGAATTCCTTGAAGCGACTGGAATCATGAGATTGAACATGAAGGATGTATTATCCAAAAATTTCCTCTCTTAAAAGATTGAAGGTTCTATATGTGGCTTAAAGCTACCTTGCACTACCACCTGCTTGTTCATGTCAATTCATGATTCCCCTGGAACCATAAGACTGCATCAGTAGCTTTAATTTTTTTTAAACATCAAGACAATCAGTATTAACAAGTTTTTTTGGGTTGCTCCTGCTTGACATATAGTAAAGTACAATCCTATGACGAAGTTTCTTATTGTTGCACAGGTTACATTTGTAGAAGCTTTGGATCAATTAATGCCTGGATTTGACCCTGAAATTGGAAAATTGGCTCAAAGGGTTCTCATAAATCCTCGAAAAATTGATTTTCATACTGGTGTATTTGCAACCAAGGTTCATAAACTTGGATTGTTCTTTCCTTTTCTGGATATATATATATATATATATATATATAGACTTTTTTGGTATTTACTTTTTCATTTCGTGTTGACAGATAACTCCAGCAAAGGATGGAAAACCTGTAATGATTGAGCTTATTGATGCAAAGACGAAGGAACCAAAAGATACATTGGAGGTGGGTATTGGGGTACTTAAGCAAAGAAAAATATTCACACATCATTGTAGATCTGTTGAAAACAATATGAATGAAGTTTAGATTAATCTCTATCATTATGTCTTTTATGTATTATTATTTACCTGTGCGCTTTTTTTATCTGCTGTAGGTGGATGCTGCTCTTATTGCAACTGGAAGGGCTCCATTCACAGAAGGGCTTGGTCTAAAGAGTGTAAGTGAATCTATCAGTAGTACATCTCTAAGCTCCTAAGGTATGATCCGAGTTTAAAAGGCAAACTATATGGCTTGAATTTTTCATAGGTCAATGTACAAACACAACGTGGTTTTATTCCTGTTGATGAACGCATGCGAGTAATTGACACAAAAAAAAAACTGGTACATCAAAATTTCCTTGCATTACTGTTCCTGCATTCTACATTCTATGCTTTATTAATATGAAGTCTTGGTCATTAGGTCCCTCACTTGTATTGCATTGGTGACGCTAATGGAAAGATGATGCTTGCTCATGCAGCAAGCGCGCAGGGAATTTCAGGTATCATTTACTTCTGAATGTTAATCAGTCATCTACTACAACTTATGTTAATACTGATATGACTTGGAAATTGTATCCTTAACATAGTCGTTGAGCAAGTTTCTGGAAAAGATCATGTTCTAAATCATCTGAGCATCCCAGCGGCATGTTTTACCCATCCTGAAATCAGTATGGTTGGACTAACAGAGGTATGCCTTTCTGCTTTTCCAAATTTCTTTTGTTTTCTAATGTGATGTGAACACAGCTCATTGTTCACCTTGCATGTTTTATGAATGAATATCGCATAGGTTTAAATGAGAAACCTTTTAAAAATGTGTGTAAATATGAGATTTGGAAATTCTGATCCCATAGAGAAGTATGCCCCCGCTAGTGGCTAAAACAGTAACATGTACAAAGGACAACACTGACAACTAATTCTTGTATGGGGTTTTTCTTTGGGAGGAGGGAAGAGTTCATGTCTTCGTTCCCTGCAATTGTTTCACCAACCTCCTCTTCTCCCATGTACACAATAACTTCTGAAAGAACACAAGTGTTTTTTAGAGGTCTGGTCTTGGTAGATAATCAATTTAGAGTTTTAAACACATAAAGGTTGACTGACGTTCTTCCATGCTTAACTGTGTTGTAAATAAAGAAATCCAGTGGTCTTTGTAATGAAGTTGTCTCTTGTTTCATGTAAAGGAAACATGAGTTTATGGATATTGGTAAGTTCTGATTTCTTCAAGACTTGAAGATATTATGGTCTGAGATCACACATGCTGCTTAAGTATTAAAACATAGTCCTCAAATTGCTAAAGAACAGTCCTAAAGAGTCACTTTACTTTGTGTTCTTAAATATATGCATTTTTGTGTAGCATATCATAGTCTGGTTAAATTAATCAATCATTTAACCATCTGGCCAACTAAAATAAATATCCCTTCTGCTCTTATATAGAACCTATCACTAAAATACCCCTAGAGAGGGATAAGGCTAAGTGGAGCGAAAAGTGTTTTCCATGAGATGGGAAATGAAAACTATTAGCCCCACACAAAGCTTGTGAATAAGTGATTGTTTGATAATGAGCAAGGAATATCCATCTGAGCAAGAATTTCCAGGAACATTTCGTTTCTGGATACTAGGTGCTGGGTGTATCGACCCATGGCCTGCTTGACGAACGTCAGCGATGGAGACGTCGTAAACTGGTCGGGTTTTCTAAGCTATTTGGAAGAACCAGATTATCGTAATTTGCTTCTGATCTCGATAAAGCTACTCAGAATCAGAACCTTACCAGGGCTTTACATGCCGCGAATCCTCTTGAAAGAGAGGGGTGCCTTCGGGAACGCGACACAGGTGGAGAAGAACCCAACCCGGTATTATTAAAAAATAATTCCTTTTTCAATTCCTGCTGCAGCTGCACGAGCCCTTTGACCACTGTACATTGCTAACATCAAGAAATGGAATAATCACTACAGTGGCAGCGTGTGGAATCAGCAGCAGACAGTTAGCATCTTTTTTGTGACATTTTGTACCCAAAACAAACACGCTACCAAGCTGCACTACATCCCTTCAATTGGTCTACACTGTCATTGTAGAGGAACCCATACGTGTTTCTGCGGGTTTAGAACCAAGAATGGAAAGCTTTCCCCCTTTTCCGCCGACTCTTTGCTATTCAATAATGTCTGTCTAGCAACCCCCCCACTAACCCGAGTGAAGATTCAAAAGAGTAGAAAAAACATGCAGCTTATGAAGTGGTAGACCGAATGTTTAAGGTTATATTACACTGCGAGTATATCTAATTGAACAGGATTTATTGATGCCCAGAGATAAACATCCACACTCAGAGATAAGAATAATCCCTTGTCATTTTGAGCTTGAACGGAGCAATTATTTTCTGTGATTGTTTTCCTCATCCGGAAAAAGACAGAAAGAATCCTTTGGCAGAGTTTGCTCTGGTAAACAGAGCTTCAAAAATGTTGCATTAACTATTGTTCCATGAAGAAAGCTTTTACTTGAGTGAGTAGTTTGAGTTAAAAAACTTGCAGCCTCAAGCAAGAGAAAAAGCTGAGAAGGAAGGATTTGAGATCAGTATTGCCAAGACTAGCTTCAAAGCCAACACTAAGGCCCTCGCAGAAAATGAAGGAGAGGGAATTGCCAAGGTATTGTAATTTCTTCTTAAATTACGTTAATAGAAATCTGCTTTCAAATTTGTAATTTTCTTTTGTGTTGCACATGACATGATTAGAACGCTGATCAAGCTTTTTGCTTCTTTGTGCAGATGATTTATAGACCTGACAACGGAGAGATCCTTGGGGTTCACATATTTGGAATGCATGCAGCAGACCTCATCCACGAAGCATCAAATGCTATCGCTTTGGGAACACGTATACAGGTTTGTGTTTATATTGAAGTTTCATCAAGGAAATCCAGACAGATACTCTCGAAGTAATCATTGAGCTAATAAAAGAATCTTATATTTGGTAACTGTTCAAGCATCTAGAAAGTGATACAAAAGCATAAGTGTTGTAAGAACCCTTATTATCATGCATAGTTTTAAAAAATGAAAGAAATTTTGTCTAATGTTGTTCGAGTACAATTGCAGGATATCAAATATGCTGTTCACGCCCATCCAACTTTGTCTGAAGTGATTGATGAACTATTCAAATCAGCCAAGGTAATCTCTTAATCCTTTTGCTATATATAGATAGCAGTATAGGTGAGTGAAATAAGATTAGAGGAACCTTGGTCAGCTCCATCACTTGAGCAAACTCTTGAACATGACTAGCTTGAAAACTTGATTCTACATAAGGTTTTGACTCTACCCCTAGAGATATGGAGAGAAAATAATGCATTAATACGTTTGGTTACACGTATTCTTACTTGTGCAGGTTGTAGGCTGTGTTTCCAGTGTGACGCCTGAAGCGGTTGCAGTTTAAGAATTAATGTAATTGGTTGTGAGCTCCAAAACCGTTATTATGTAATGTATGTGGTGCCCATAGACTAGACTAGATTCGACCCCATTGGCCACAAATCTTGATTTCATGCCCCCTCTCAGTCTTTGACTATATTATATATAGAGTTAGAGCAAGTTCCCCTTTTTCTTTTCTTTTTTGGGTTGTTTTGCCCAATTTATAGTTATTTTTATTCCACATGGATACGGTTGGTGACTTGGGGCTGTTCAATAGGAGTTTAATGGGCTATATAAAGGATATGACTTATTTGCACAGCCATATCCAACTATTCGGTATGGGCTTATTCGGACAGCCATATATCCAGCTGTTTGGTATGGGCTTATTCGCACAGCCATATATCCAGCTGTTTGGTATGGGCTTATTCGCACAGCCATAGGCTGAAATGCGCAACTACAAAAGTGATGTTCTTTCTACTCAACCATTTATTAATCCATTTATTCCCCTTTTATTAAATTTATATCATCATATATTCATGTTAGATCAAATTGTTTTTATTTTAAAAAAAACTTTTATATTGATATTTATTTAATCATTCAAAGTCAAATATTCAAATTTTTTATCAAGCAAATGTTTTAATAGTGGTTCATATAGAATGAAAGTAAAATGGTCATTTTTGACATTCAGAGTGTCTATTCAATATGACAACGAACAACTTATCTATCATCGTAAAGACAACTTTATCAATACATACAATTTTATTTATACAGGTGTTGATAAAAAACGAACCGAACAGCCCTTGGTGTAAATAAAGATAAAGGCAATGAGACATCCATTAAATGAATATTGAAAGATGAAAATTAATATATATACTATATTATAAAGTATTTGACAAAAACTCTTAAAAACCATATTTTATACATAAAGTACTGTTTATTGATGCGTATTACTTAAAACTCAAGATTACAAGTAATTTTGCATGAGTACAACTTATTAAAGCTCTATTTTTAAATTCATGTAACTGCTGCTGATAAACATAATCAAATACAGAATAAACATTCATTTTAAATATAGAAAATTTAAAATATAATTAAGATAATCATTAAGTTCTAACAGAATGTTTAATTATTATCTTTATAAAAAATTATATTATTAAACAAAAAATAAATTACTTTGTTTCAAATCTAAATTAACTTATAACAAAAAAATTGAATTAAAGAAGTTACACCAAAAAAAATGAAAACTATTAGATAGTTAATTTAATACTAATATCGATTTATTTATTTTTTTCAAATTTTTATGCCATCTTCAAATTTATATTTCACTAAAAAATAAAAACATTATCGTTTTCTCAAAAGCATATAAAATCATATTATATCAATAGAGACAATTTTAAAAACTAAATATTAGATTTATCTCGTTGTATTGCACGAGTACCATTCTAGTATTTTAAAAAAAAAGGCTTTATTTTCAAACTTAAACAAATCTTATGAGATATAAAGAATTGGAAATTAAGCATACATAATGGAAGTCTTGTATCCTAAATTTAACGTCTATGTTTGTCATTCAACTACATTTCTCAAAAAAAAAAATTACTAGAGATACATGTTGCACCCTCATTTTTTTTACGATGAGAAATGTCACGTTATTTAAAACAAACTCCTCTAAAAATATTCCAAAATGACGGCTAAATTAAAATCTTAAACCCTTTCGCAATGGAAGTATACAAAATACATAAACATGTAACTTAAAAGCTAACTCATCCCATACCAGGTTAACTTACAACTGATTCTTACATAAAATCTAAACAAAAGATCAAATCTAAGATAAGAGCATGCGAGTCTTTAAGCGTTTTCTTTGCCCTTATCCAACCTCGAATTACCTGCCCCTGAGATGCTAACTATAGTCAGCTTATAAAGCTCAGTGAGTTTATGGTTTGCGTGAATAAAAATCATTTCATATCAACTTATAAGCTCTGCACCAAATAGTATGCATTTTCTGGAGGAAAAAAACATGCAATACTGAAAGAAAAGAGATCTCATAAATTGTCTGTTGGGTATGAGTCATTTAGTCACTGACATTCTTTAAGTTGTCTGACCTGCACCTGTCTGAACACCTATTACAGGGTCATGCCACTTGTCGTTTGACTTATTGGTCAAATGTCCACCCATTAAAATTGATCATAAAACTTTCATATGAAATAACATGCTGGAGTTATTTGAAAATTAAATAAACACATAACATGCAACTAATCATAAAATAACATACATGAAAAATAAATTGTATCATTTATGTAAGCTGAAACATTATGCATACATACATATTACCATAAAAATCATATAATGCTCGAAAATAAATTTGTACGTAGATATGCATCCCATTGTAAGTCTCATGAAGACTCATCTGATTGCGTGTAAATGGACTATCGATAGCTCTTGTGTAACATCTCCCGTCCCCGTGGTCCGGAACAGGCAGTGTCACTAACGGGACTTAATTTAAAGACAAAAACATTTCAGAGCTACTAATAAACTCCAAATGTAGATTAACTTCTAAAACATGTTTTACATTACAAAATATTACATTCTAACAATTATTTATATGCTTAGAATATTATACATCTACAAACGAGTTTACCAACTCCAAAAAGTCAAACGCTCGATCTCAAGTTTCGTCCCTATCAGTATCACTTGGAACCTGTCGTGTCAAGTATGATGCCTACATATCTCCAGCAGGCCATTCAGGCTATGCAACAAGCAACGCATAATCTTCCTTCAAACCCAAATACTGTTCCTACACCAAATCATGGAAATCCTGCATCCAGTTTGGGTAATTGAACTCATAAGGCTTTAATTGTCGAGAAAGATATGTGATCACTTTTTCGTGTTGCATAAGAACGCAACCGAGACCTTTCTTTGAAGCATCACTATAAACTTGAAACCCACCAGTGTCAGACGACAATACAAGAATAGGTGCGGTAACCAATCGATGCTTCAATTCCTTAAAACTAGATTCTTATTCGGGACCCCAATTGAATTTGACTCCTTTTCGAAGTAATCGGGTCAACGGTAGAGATATTTTAGAGAAACCTTCAACGAATCGTCTGTAATAACCAGCCAAACCCAGAAAACCATGAACTTCAGATACGTTCGTAAGTCGTGACCAATTAGTGATGGTTCAATCTTGACCAAAGGCCTACACATTTCATACCATAATATTTCATTAATGGCTTAATTTCTTCAAAAGTCAACAAAAGTCAACTATGGTCAATCCGACCGACCTAAAATCAAACTCCATATCCAAGCACCCTAATGTGCCTCAAATAACTTCACTTGACTCCCTCATTAAAATCCACGTGAGTCGAAAATGAACCTTCGTCAACTCGGTCAACCTGGTCAACCCCGACTAGCTTTAGTCAACCCCAAGTCTAAAACTCGATGGCGTCCTAAAACATTAAAAAATCATTTTATAAACTTATATATCCATCTCTCCAAATTAAAGCGTCCCAATGAATGCTAAACTCAAATACGATGTTTTAATCTCATAATTTAGATCATCAAAGTAATCTAATAATTTGCAATAAACTTTTATGCTTAGAAATAAATAGTTAATTAATATTAATATTCTAAAATAATCAATATATCAATTAAATAACAATTTAAATTAATATATTAATTAATTTAGAAACTAAATTCATTAATTAACATAACCTAAATAATTATAACTTAATTAATCTAGGTCCAAATAAAATAAATATTCAATATAAATAGATCAATATCTTAATAGGCCCATAATAAACACCCAAAATACATTCATCCACCATTTAAATACCAGTCGTGTATCCGCACAATGCGACGAGATGTAAAAAAGTATGATAGTCTTTTAATTTGTGGTGTCGAATCCAATTTGTGGATCATTAAGATGTTTTATAGCATCATTGTAAAGAAAATGTTATCATATTAATGTTAACAATTAACCTAAGATACATTAAGTTGACAAAAACAATAGAGGGTCGCTCTTAATATGAAAAGCAAAATCTAAAGTCACCAAAATCAAATGATCTTCTATGTACACCATGATTCTCAAGAACAACCTAAGATTAATGTTGAAACTAAAGGATTGAGCCCACAAGAGCAGGTGGCAAAATCATCTTGCTAATATCAGCAGAATGTAGCAGAGCTGTAGGTCTCAATTTTGATAGCAGTTTAAATAGTATGATAATCATGATAATACAAATGATAAAAGGTATTGAAATAATTAGGAAGTTTTACAAAAATTAAATTAAGTAACAGAATCATGAAGCAATTGGATATAGTTGTAGATTTCAATCCTTTGATGATTATAATTGGTTGGAGGTTCGACAAACACAAACTATATAAAATGATGTAAATCATGAAGTTTAAGAACGACACGCAACATTTACAGAAGTTTACAAATAATTAGAATAAATGATCGAAAATAGCTGATTTGATTTTCCATATACAATGATCCCTACAGTAAATCAACTACCCCCTACCAAATACCATGATTCCTACAATAACACAAAGTTAGGGGTCGCTTATAGGTAACGGCCAACACTTTTACTTACCTTATCAGGTACCATCAAGATAGATTGTTGGTAAGTAGCTAACACTTATAGGGTAATATTCTTAATCTGTGTTATGCTTCTTACCTGATAGTGTGTGAAACGACTTGTTCCCTACATCAAATTTATTAATTTAACAAACAAAAAATAATAAAAAATAAAAACCACTCCACCAGCTAACTGAGGTTCATAGCATGTGGTTTAAAGCAGTAAAAAAACAAAAGATTCTCTGTTTCACATACTCATTTGATCTTTGCTAAAAAAAGATTCACAAGAAGACAAAAATAGATTGTGTATTTATTCATTCATATATGTAAACATGTCTAAAAATCCATTTTAAAACAACTTGAAATAAGTTTCTTTTGCTTCCGGAAGAATGACAAACAACAATTGACGCTGTTTGCCTGGTGCGACCACTGCTGTAGCTTTGCAGTACACTCAAACTGGATCTGAACCAGGGCCTTCTCAATATTGTGTGCTGGCACAAAAAATATAATTAGAACCAAAGGTTGGGGATTGAAAACCTACCAAAAGGCAACAAGTGTTTTGATACTCACATTTACAAAAGAAAATTAATTTATTACCACTCAAATGTGTT